TCTTGGCCTCCACAGTAGCTAGAATTTCATGCCAGAGCCACTGTGCCCAGCAACTTTGCCTTTCAATTAAAAGATCTTTTTATAAGATATAAAAGTCTGGATTGAGAGTTTCCTTTCAGTATTTTAAAGGTGTTTCATTTTCTCTTGTCTGCAATTTTCTCTAATACAATATCCTCTATTTTTATGTCATTGTTCCCCTGAATACATTTTCTGTGGGTACTTTCAAGTGTTTCTCTTTATATTTGCTTTTGATTAACTTAACTATGATATACCTAGGTATGTATTTCTCTTTGTCTTTCCTGTTTGGGATTTCTGAGCATTTTTGGTTCTGAAATTTATCAAAACTCATGAAACCTAAAAAAATTTTTTTCTTGTTTCTGTATGTGTATTTTTCTGTCACATTCTCTTTTGCTTTTTCTACTGGGACTTCCTCTGCACATATATTAGACTGCTCCATATTGTACTAAAGGCCACTAAAGATTTGTTTTTGTTTTTGCTATCTTTTCTCTATTATTCAAAATGTGTAATTTATATTTTTGTCTTAAATTCACCTCTGCTTTACTGTGCCCCATAAAATCTGGTGTTAAAGCCATTAAGTGAATTGTTCATTTTCAATATCGTACCTTTAAATTACACAATTATTTTTGTTTCTACTTTTTCCTGTGAGGTTTCCATTGGCTTCTCGTTGTTGCCATATTTTCTTCTAGGTTATTGGTTTGGTGTTATAATAACTTATTTAAAATTTTTACCTGCTAATCCCAAAGTCTGTGTTATACAAGGACATTCTCTAGTCTTTCTGTTATGTGGTATATTTATTAACATATAGTAGAGAGTCTAGATTATTTTGTATCTTCTAGAAGATGTAGTATTTTTTCCCCAAATTAGATCACTGACATGTCACCTAGATCTTTGTACTCTCTTTTTTTAATTGTTTTATTATTCATATGTGCATACAATGTTTGGGTCATTTCTCCCCCCTGCCCCCATCCCCTCCCTTACCACCCACTCTGCCCCCCTCCCTCTCCTCCCCACCCCCTCAATACCCAGCAGAGACTATTTTGCCCTTATCTCTAATTTTGTTGTAGAGAGAGTATAAGCCATAATAGGAAGGAACAAGCGTTTTTGCTGGTTGAGAAAAGGATAGCTATACAAGGAGTTGACTCACATTAATTTCCTGTGCATGTGTGTTACCTTCTAGATTAATTCTTTTTGATCTAACCTTTTCTCTAGCTCCTGGTCCCCTTTTCCTATTGGCCTCAGTTGCTTTTAAGGTATCTGCTTTAGTTTCTCTGCGTTAAGGGCAACAAATGCTAGCTAATTTTTTAGGTGTCTTACCTATCCTTACCCCTCTCTTGTGTGCTCTTGCTTTTATCATGTGCTCAAAATCCAATCTCCTTGTTGTGTTTCCCCTTGATTTAATGTCCTCATATGAGGGAGAACATACGATTTTTGGTCTTTTGGGCCAGGCTAACCTCACTCAGAATGATGTTCTCCAATTCCATCCATTTACCAGCAAATGATAACATTTCGTTCTTCTTCATGGCTGCATAACATTTCATTGTGTATAGATACCACATTTTCTTGATCCATTCATCAGTAGTGAGGCATCTTGGCTGTTTCCATAACTTAGCTATTGTGAATAGTGCCGCAATAAACATGGGTGTGCAGGTGCCTCTGGAGTAACCTGTGTCACAGTCTTTTCGGTATATCCCCAAGAGTGGTATTGCTGGATCAAATGGTAGGTCAATGTTTAGCTTTTTAAGTAGCCTCCAGATTATTTTCCAGAGTGGTTTATACTAGTTTGCATTCCCACCAGCAGTGTACAAGGGTTCCTTTTCCCCGCATCCTTACCAACACCTGTTGTTGGTGGTGTTGCTAATGATGGCTATTGTAACAGGGGTGAGGTGGAATCTTAGTGTGGTTTTAATTTGCATTTCCTTTATTGCTAGAGATGGTGAGCATTTTTTCATGTGTTTTTGTAGTCTTTATTCGGCTTTTTAGAGCTTTTAATTCAAAGACTGGTGTTTTTGCTTACACTTTTGACTTCATGAAATTCAACTTAAAATTCTTTCTACTTCTATGGGTAGTAGCTAAAATTCTGTGTCAGGTTTTTAATTCTCTGAGCATTTGCTTTCTACTGGGCTCTTTGAAAATTCTCCCACACATATTCAGCTTAAGAATTATCCAAGGAATTTGTTGTTTGTCCCCAAATTTGGAGCAATCACTAATCAGTGACTTTCTCCTGTCTATGATTTTTTTCCCCTTGAATTCTAGCTTTTTCTGTAGCTCTCCCATGCCTCCCAAACTGGGATATAGCCTTGTAGGAAAAGCTGTGCAAAAATTTCCTTCAGTTTCTACCTTCCTTTTGTTACTCTCAAATATAATTAAGTAGTTCATTTATATTTTTCTGACAGTTTATTATTGCTATAAGTGTAAGAGTTCACAAAATAGTTCATTGGACTTTTTTTCATCATTACTAGAACTAAAACTCCTCCTAGCCCATGCTTTATTTCAAGGTTGTGAAATAATTCATGTACTGAAAATGACTTCCTTCTTCCCATATAGGTCAAGGCAAGTTGAAAAAAAGATCAAAAACCAAAATTTCAACCCACATCATAATAGTTACTGTCTTGATTTATTATATCTCTGATTTATTTTTTTAATTTTGTTTTCTAGAATTTGCTTACAGAACATTGACTAGTTTATTTGTCACTCTCTTCTGATTCCAAACAAGTTAAAATTTTCACTCTAGAAGTAACAATGGTAGTTAATAACTAGAGTTTGAAAGAAAAAAGGCAAAGGGAGAAAGAGAGTGAAAAGGGAAGTAGAGATACAATCAGGGGAGTGAGAGAAAGCAGGAAGAAGGAAGGAAGAGGAGAGGAAAAGCTTTGGAGATCTAGTGTTTTTCTCCAGTTGTCACAGTATCTCATTGATTTATAAAGGTTATAATTACTAGATTATATAGTTAATAGCTATTAAAATAATCACAGTACATTTATGTATATAATTTTCAACAGGACTGTTTGAAAAGGCTGAAGTAAAACATCAGTCAAGTTCTGTCATTTAAATGTAGTATTTTCTCTACTTTATCTGTAAAAAAGTGTCTGGGTTTGTATGGACTTCATATTGGTGAACACTAATATCATAAAGAACAAAACAAGGAAATAGATTGAGGTAGAATAAGATAGGTTAGTTTGATATAGTAAAATAAATATATTTTGGAGTCCTACCATATTTTAGCCATTGTATTAAGTTCTATGGGTAAAATATAAATAAAACATGGCCCTTGTTCTCAAAGATCTTACAGTTAAACCAAAGAAATTAGACATTGATCACATTTGCTGCTTCATTGGGTAGATGCTGCAGGGCTGAGCTGAGGTGTCAAAGAGAAAAGCTGAAGTTCTCTGTATTTTAAGACAAAAGAAAAGTATACATGCAGGTTCTTAATCAGAAGCCTGAGTGGACTGTGCCTTAGAAATAGAGGCAAACCAAAGGTGAACTGGATCTTATTAAAACTGTAGCTGAGCCCCATACTACCTTAATCCCTCATTGAATTTAAATGATTAACTCCTCACTTTATCTGTTTAACAAAGGAAGTGGGGTTATGTATACAAAATATTTTATGGAGCTGCTACAGTTTTTTAGTACACAGTGTTAGCAAAATTTAAAAGGATTGGACACACAGATAGTAATAAAATATAATTAAAAATCAAGAGAATAAAATAGAAAAGAGAAGCAAACAACTAGATGGTATGGATATTATGGATAACAGACCAAAAGCTTAAGTATAAATAGTATATTAAAGTAGAAGAAAAGATAGTCAAAGGAGATGAATGCAATAGTGCTTAAAAATATTTTAAAATATGTTAAAATCAAATTTTCCTGGAAGGAACAAAGAACAAGATGCCCATCGCCAGTGAAAGCACTAAATAAATTATGGTATAGCCCTATAATTACATGCCCCATTATATATGAACGTCCCAATGTTAAGGTTGAGTTTAAATAAAAGATATACACCAGTGAGAACTTTGTTAGATTCCACTGATAGATAAATAACACAAGCAGGTAAAATTATTCTGTGAAGAATGAAGTTGTGTTACTTTGGGGAAGCAGGAGTTACAGACATTATTTTAAAGTACCATATTTCTCTAGTTCCCTGACGTGTTTATAGCAGAGAGCAATGGAGGGAGGGAGGAACATAGGGAGGAGAAAAGAAGGAAAGGAAGGATACATCTTAAGCAATATAGTTAGTGTTTACTCCAATTTTTTTCTGGTTGGCTCCCAAATCAAGGAACTTAGACAATTAAGAAAGCCTTATTTCATGTACAGCCACAACAACCCCTAGGGCATTGATTTTCATACTGCAGGTAACAGAATCACCAGGAGGTCTTATTTTATGAGTCTGAGGCCCATTCCCAAGAGTTTGGGTACCTGTAGTTGTGATGTGAAGCCTAAGGATCTGCATTTGTATCATGCTCCCAGAGGATGCTGGTGCTTCTGGTGTAGAGAATACAATTTCAGAACCATCTCATCAGGTTGTTCTAGTTCCACTTGCCCATGTTATTAGAAATATAAGTCTCTACAATCTTGTTTTTGATTTATTTTTGCAAGCAGCATTCACAAACATAGACATAGGGCATTGACTCCACAGGGATACATGCAAAGGACTAGCAAATATTTACCCAGAACAAAAATGCTGACTAATCAAATGATAACAATTACTACTCTTAAAGCAGAGAGAGAGAAAAAAAATAACCAGCTAAATCAATGAATAAACCAAGCACAAGAAAAAATACTAGATTTTTTTCTCTTATCACATATTTAATGCAACATCACTACCAAGATAATGTTTATTAGAATGTGCTGTTATCAGTCAGGGCTCACAGATGGGAAATGGTTTGCCCTAATCAAACCTGTGAAACACTTACTTTTCAGAGTTGCACTAATTTGAGCTTTAAATTTTTAACTCATATGTCAATGTTTATTTAATTCTCGTATAGGACTGCATCAAAACATGTAAACAAGGACCTTGGTAATATGGAGGAAAACAAAAAGTTAGAAGAAAACAATCACAAAACAGAAGCCTAAGAGAGAAGCGGTTGTAGTTGTGCAGGTGAGTAAGCTGAATAAGGTTTATAGACATAATTCTCAGGAAGTGTGGAATCTTTTTGGAGATGACAGGGTAAGGCTTCAGTTTCAGTATTTCTCAGTTACAGCTTTCAAACCAGGAACACAGCTTTTCAAAAGGGACTTTGGTGACTCAGACAGTGATCTCAGAAGAATGTAATCTTAAAGGTCTCCTCAGGTCCCCAAAATAATCATTATCCTATAAAAAATAAAAGTCATTTTTGAGCTTTTAACATCCAATTTGTATCTTGTTTTCTAATGCCAAAATTTTTGCTGAATACAAAGAAGCATTATTTTATTGGGTTCACTAAATTCAGGCTATAAATTTATATTTAAAAGCAATTAGAATAAATTTATAAATATAAATATTTTAATCTAAGAATATCATATGATTGTGAGTGTATTGATACAACCATCTCCCAAGTCATTTTAATAAAAAGACTGATAAACTACTGTGTGTGTGTATGTACACAAACACACACACTTTTATACATACTGTATGTATGCTGTGTGCGTATATGTATGCAGGTATCTATGTATGCACATATATCTATATTTGTGTAATGCATATGTCAATGTTGTATATATAGCATATATTTATGTATTAGCTGCATTTGTGTGATTTTAAAGACAATATTGAAAAGGGGTATGTTTCCATGGCCTTGCCACTTGCAACTTGAGCTTTTTGTTTTGTGTTCACTTGAGCCAACCAAACAAGGAGCCATTTGGACTAATTATTTTGAGTGCCCTTGAGAATAACTGTTACTGTTGCATACTAATATGATGTACAAAAGCCCCAACTGCTTTGTACATCAAAGCATAAATAAACCTCACATATTATAAATAAACCACACATCACATTCTGAATGGGTTTCACAGTGAAGATTGGGGGCATGGGAAAGAATTGTATTCAGAAGAATGTACACAGTAAAGAAAAACACAATAATTGAAGTAAGGTCTATTTTTAAAATCTGGAAACCTGGATTTCAAATTGATTGGGTACAAGAGTCAGAGCTGGATTCCTTGTCCCGTCCTGCCTCCCACGGAAGCATTCTCACTGTTTTTCTGTTCTACTTTTAAATTCATTCCTTGATCCTTTGTAAACATAGAATTTTATCTTCTGTTCTCTTCCAAATTGGGTTGAGTACTATCTCCCAGGAAAATTGAATTGGAAGACAAATAGCAAAATCTAAATTGTGATTTGAAGAGATGGATGTATTTTATACTTGAAAAGAAGCGTAATGAAATGTTTTCCCAAAATACTTTATAATCTTATATGAATGAAGCATAAAAAAGAAAGATTTTCAACAATTCCTAAAAATTATATATAGAAGTGATATTGCAGGACTTGGGTTCTAAGTGCAGGGCCATGGAGTTTTGTAAAAGATTCCTCCCATGAAGTAATTCTCATCATTTTTAGTACAAAGCATCTGTTGATGGTGGATAATGATTGCTATGGTTACTTATCTAAATTATGTTTTTTCATCATTTCAGAGAAAAAACCATATAAACCAATTGAAGCATGAACATGGATTGTATTTAAGACATAAACAAAGACATTGACAGCAATTCATGGTTCAAGTATTAAGCAGTTCATTCTACCAAGCTGTCACAGGATTTTAGAGAATTATCTCAAGTAAAACAATGAAATGAAATTATAAAAAAAATAACAAGTTTTGGCAGCCATGATAATAGGTCATATGTTGTGTTTGGTTTGATTTTTTTTTTCTGTAAATGTCTGCACTGAGGATTTCTTTTTTGGTTTGCCTTTTATGTAAATTTTTTACGTAGCTATTTTTATACACTGTAAGCTTTGTTCTGGGAGTTGCTGTTAGTCTGATGTATAATGTAATGTTTTTATTTCAATTGTTTATATGGATAATCTGAGCAGGTACATTTCTGATTCTGATTGCTATCAGTAATGTCCCAGACATTCTCACAAGCACCTAAAACCCAAAGGTGGCAGCTTGTGATCATTGGGGACGCACACATTGCCCTATTCAAAACCTGGTCTTTTTATCACAGAGAGTCTGATTGAGAAGCACTCTCAAGCTGATTCTGCATGAGTGCCACCAGCTGACTCTCAGAAGCAAACCACAGACACATAAGGACACACACGCATGATAATGGTACTCCCAAACTGACAATTTTGCCTTTTCTGAAAAAAGACATAACATAGAATTTGGGTAACACTTACCTTTAAAGACACCTGCTAGTAAATTATTTTCTGTCAAAGGGAAAAAACAAAATGTGCGATAGACAGTTTGGAAAAATCATGGATAACATTCTCATTTTCATAAATCACAATGTAAATCACTGTAATTAAAAATTGGTGTTAAATCCTTTGGGTTATCCACTGCCTTAAAATTATACCTATTTACTTTTAAAAAGATATCAGTCAGAATTGGAAATTTTTAACAGTGGTCATTATCAAAAGCGGTGTTATTTTCCACAGAATATAGAATATATATTTTTTTTGTATGTGTTTTTGTTAACTACCCTACAGATATTGAGTGCACCTTGAGATAATTTAGTGTTTTTAACTGGTACATAATTTATCAAGCAGTACATGAAAGTGTAATAATAAAATGTCTATGTATCTTTAGTTACATTCAGATTTGTAACTTTATAAACATGTTTTATGAGTGAGGAACTTTTTAAGGTGGTAGTACAAAGGGAAACATTTCGAAGTAGAGTGGATATTGGCCAATAGCTACTTGTGATTAGACTTTTAAACTTTGCTCTTTCAAGCAGAAGCCTGGTTTCTGGGAGTACACTGCCCAGCCATTTTTGTCCCAGGATTTACGTAACTTTAACTGAAAAAAGAAAAATGAACATTAGATTTCCAGGTATGTTCTTTGAAAGGAAAAGGAAAACTGGTGTTTGTTTTTTAGACTCATGGAATTAAAAAATTACTAAGGCAATGAAAAACTAATTGATGTCAGACAGAGATTGAAGATAATATTTTGCCACTTCTGCATTATTTAGAAACACATGTGATTGTATATTTGTAAACCATATATTGTCTGAGCAATAGTGACTCAGTTTAATAAAAGCTTCATGTAGTGCATTGGTATGAATTAAATGCATAAAATATTGTATTAGACTTGATGCTGTATAAAATATTATGGGGAAAAAAAGAAAATATGTTATTTTGCCTCTAAACTTTGATTTATTAAAGTTTTATTTGGCAGGAAAAAATTGAATCTTGGTCAATATTTAAACCAAAGTGAAAGGGGAAAAAAAACCAAAGTTATTTGTTTTGCATGGCTAAGCCATTCTGTTATCTTTGTAAATACTGTGATTTTTTTTTCTTTTTCTCTTTAGAATTTTGTTAAAGAAATTCTAAAAGTTTTAAATACCTGCTTTCCACAATAAACCATGAACACTAAAATTAGATTATTCCCATACTAATATTTTTTCTTTTTTCTTTTGGTGTGGGACATCAAAGGTTTTAAGTCTTACTCCTAAGATATGTTTGCAGAAAGAAGCAACGTGCAGTAGAAAGACAGGGTTATACTACAATTATGGTTTGGCTTCCACTTGCAATGGTTAACTAAATACAAAGAACCTAGACAGCAGAACATGAGAAACTCAGAGCTCTGGACTGAGGGCAGAAAGATGACAAGGAAGAAAAGCGACAATGTCAATACCATGGAATCAACGCCTGGATAACGAGGAACGCAGACTTGTATAATGGCAACCATATGCACAGGGATACTAGGAAGGAAGGATAATTCAGCCTTCAACTTCTGAGGTTTTGTCTCTCCAGTTACACTCCTTGGCAACAGAAGATAGGTTTTACCAGTTCAAGGTTCACTCCCTCTATGTGATTATAGGAACTGTATGTGGAAATGGATTAACATACCCGTCTATGCCTAAAAGATAATAAAAATGAAATATGTCTTCACATACCTCTCACAGATGTCTGCCTCTTATTTTATCTACAATAGGATGCTTGGGCTTAAAAGGTGATTTTCTTTAATGAAAAATTAAAAAACTCAGTGTGACTGTCTATCCCTCTAGAAGAGGAATACAGAAAAATAAAACTGCTCATGATTTCTTCGTAAGTCAGGAGGCTACCTTACGTGGCCCCAATTTTACCAGTGCCTCCAGCCCTCATTTCACCTGTGATTGCTTCTGTAAAATGTCTGTCTTCGTTGATAGGATCGCACTTGTTGGTGCCCATGTGACTATCCGCAGAGCCTAATTAAGAGGACACTTTCACTCCACTAAGATTATCACTTGGAATTGCTTAGGCATGAGCTTTCATGTTCCCTTCAAAATAAAATAATATAATGCACATGAGAAGTGAAAGTCAATAGCTTTTAGCCCAAGTCAGATGTTAAAGACATTCACACATTACGTAAATCATTAAGAGTTGTAAATAGTACTAAATGTCTCCCACTGTACAGCCCAAAACCTGATGTTTTTCTTTGGAAAAGGTTTTTTTCTTTGTAATGCCCAAGCAATAGAATGTGAGCAGTCATGTATAGAAATGCATGCACATATGCATGAAGATAAACACACACAGTGGGACATTTTATCCCACTTCATTTTCCTGGATGGGAGGTAATAGTATTTGCTTATCAGTAAAGAAATGTTTGAAGGACTACAAAGTGAGAATCAGCTAAGGAACAGAAATATCCATGATACTCTGATGGAAGGCATTCCTAAGTCTGACAAACTTTTGCAAGAGAAGTGCAGCCAATAGTTACAATGAAATTTGTGTAATAAAACCTAGTTGTGTAATCTCTCTACTACCAAGAAAAAAATGAGGAACTCAGTATCATAAAGGTTCAAAATTAGTTACTAAATCCTTCAAGAAACCCTGTATTCTCAGAGAGCAGAGACTGTGGTCTCCAAAAAGCACAGCTTTTGATTAAAAAAATACTAATAATGTCCTTTTAGAAGTTGTCAATACTCAATTTGGACTATTTGGGAGCTAAATAATAAAAATGAAATTTCAAATATCCTCATAAATATTTTCGTTTTGAGTTTTCTTTCCCAGGTAGGCCTGGATAAATGGAGCTTCAATTAGTGGTTTAAATTGATGGTGGCTTGATTCACAAAACATCTGAAAAGTTCACTTCCACAGAAAACAGAAGCTGGAATTGAGAGAGCCCTGTATGATTCTTTGAATTCTTACCAGAAAGGAAACCACATTGTCAGTTGAAATAGGATGTAGTTACTGCTTGAAAATTGATTCACAACACTCTCCCTAGAGTGGCTTGTTAAAGAAATAGAATATGTCTGAGCATTAGAGTCATTCCTTGGAGCTAAACCATAACTGAAAACTCAGTTTACTCTAAAATTTTGGACTTCTACAACTACTAGCAATAACAACTCAGTTCATTTTTCTTAGATTTATTAAAATTGTCCACCACCAACTTTAAAAGTCTTGTATGGAAAGACAAATAGTCACAACTTATTTTTTAATATAAGTTCAAGGGGAGGGACTAATATTTTGAACATTTATAGGTTTACTTAGAATAATCATCTTCCTATAATTTACCTTAATTTAAAATTTTGTTTTCTTATTTAATAATTGTACACAGTTATTTTTGTTCACACTGGTAACAACATCAGGTAAACATATCCATCTCCCACCCATCCCTAAGGGATGAATCTGTCTTCAGAGAAATGTGATTAAGAGTTTGCCTGCAATGGCATGGTTACTCTTCCATTTGTTTGACTTTAATTTTCCCTTAATGTAATAAAATACAGTTTTCAAAATATTAAATATGTACTTTACAATTATCATTACCATAGTCATTATATTTTTGATATAGTCATTATATTTCTGATGATAATAGTAATAGTAATGCATGTTATTATTGTTCAAAGAATTGTTCAGATTTAGAAATACTATTGTTTTATGAGGTCCCTGTGACACTGAGGGGTAAAATTTACATTGGTGCCCTCAGCATCACTGTTCAGTGGCTTCTGATATTATTCTGGAGAGAACATAGAGAAGAAGCAGTTTCTGTTGGTTGACCATGCTATTAACCACTTTCATGATTAGAAATAGAGTGTAGACATATGGATGGGCTGCTTCTAGTATCTCCACTAAAAATGACTTTTCCCAGCTTTTTATCCAATGGGGAAATCATATGGTTGCAAGCAAAGTCAAATGGACTTTACCAGAAAAGTTTGCCTTTCATTTCAGAAATTATAGACCAGAGTGGAGTGGGACAGCCAAGGTTTAGAAACTTGGATGAGGACAGAGGAGCTGCCCAGTTACAATTGGGGTCACCCAGTCAGGTTGAGTTTTACATGTAAATCACATGAGTTTATAACACAGCTATCTGCGAGGCTTTTGTTATAAAATGACTTTGCATGATGAAGTATGCAACAACATCGTCAGCAACAGTCCACACAGTCTTTGACTTTGCCCCTGACTCACGTTTTTTAATTAGAAGAAACTCGCATAGTATATTTCTCTCCCTTTCATCACCCTCTGTGCATGTATCAAATAATATCTGCCCAGATACTTCTTCAAAAAGCATCCAATCCTGGTTTTTCTATGATCGTTGTGTTGCATTAGTTACCATTTCAGTGTCTGTACCCTTTATGATATGATTTTATAGGTCTTCCTTCAGAAGGATCAGAGCATATTTTCCCAAACCTTGGCATAAGGTCAGGCCATGTAATTTACTATAACAAATAAAATCATGTGAAAATGAGAGCTTGTTAGTTTTGAGTGTGGCTTCAGGCCACCTATTACTTTTCTCCTTGCTCTTCTTTACTTCTGTTATCACAATAAGAACACACTACAGCAAATCAGATAATATCAGGGGTGGAGAGACACAGAGCTTTGTTCTGTCACAGGTTAGAGGCCTCAGCTAACTTAGCCTAGAACAGAGTTCCTAACCAACTCAGCCACATGAGAAAATCCAGCCAAGATCTTTTGAGCCCAATCCAGATCAGCTGTCTCAAGATGACCCATGGACACAGGCACTACATTAACAAATGCTTGTTGTTTCAAGCCATTGAGTATTTGGATTGTTGCTAATCAACAATCTTTAACTAGTATACCCCTTCAGGGGCAACTGGTTTTTGTGTTTTGCTTATTAGATCACATAATTTTAAGAACATTCTTTTCACAAAACTTCAGATACATTTTATTAAAGTCCCAATGATTAGTCCTTTTGAGCTTTTGAAATATCTGTTTCCTGACCTTCTGGAACCAATATTCACTACCCACAGACTTCACCCCTCAAGATGCTATTAAATATGCTCTTGTATTAACATTTAAGAATCAGTTGTACTAATTCCAGGTAACTATCATGAGATCTTTCTTAAAAACATATGTTATATACAAGTCTCTTGACAGAGTGGGCTTGATATGTGTTTTGCTTGGCTCTGAACTGCATTTCTCCTTTTTCATTATTTCAAAAGTTTATTGTTGAAGATAAGTTCATATAATTTTTCTCTATATATGCCCACATAATTACATGCCATTCTGTTCCTCAAATTAGAAATTATACTCAGCCTAGATATTTTGCTGACACCACATTCCTCAGTAAATGTCAGTTTCTTAAAAAATATTCTCAGCTCAAAAGGCCTAATTAGGTTTTCAGTAATTCATGTCATTGGTCATTAGAACAATCATACAAATCAGCAAGCGCTCAGATACCTAAGAACTAAATCGAGACGTGAATCTAAAACATCACAGGCCACAATCCTAAAAGAAATCTAAAACGTTTTCTCACTGCTTTCATTAACCTTTTCTTTATGTTTGCACATTTCAGGCACCAGCTCTGTAGACCTATAAAATTGCTCACCAGAAAGGTTCAGTGTAGAGATGGAAATAATGTTTAAATGGCAAACCGTTGTGAAGGAGCTATGAAACATGCCTGCACATGCATAAGCCCTCACTAAATTTTCCTGCCAGCTCTGCAGTGCCCTGAACATCTAGCACATCTTTGAAGTAATAGTGGTGATGCTGTGAGGGGAGAGTAGGGGACTTGGTTTTGATGTGTTCTCAAATGACCCCAGACAGTCTAAAGGGGCAGATGAACTTAGTGGTTTAATGGAAAGGTGTGGCCTGTAGAAATGAGCAGCGTTTGGACTTTTAAATGAACATTACGGATCTACTACTTGTTAGCAGCATACTAAAGCCCTGAGCCTCAGTTACCTCATCTGTAAAATGGCAGCAATAATATTACACGAGAGCCTGTTCTTAAGAATAAAATGTGCACATTGAAGAGAAAATAGCTCTGGGTCTGACTATCAAGTACAGATTAGATTACTGAAGGGTAGGATAATTCCATTCAATAGAAACAGAAGTTCAAAGATGAGAACAGTGAGAAAGATACAGATTTGTTTTTATTTAATTTGAAAATTACAAGAAGTATTTTTTCTCACATTGAGGAAGCAAAGTCTGTGGGAGCTGCTGACTTGCTGGTAGCATCCCCTTGTGCAAGCATTGGCCTAGCTGTTTGTGGTTATTCCTAGAAATGATCTTGATGTCTGGACATGTCTAATTTTAGCTGAAGTCAAGACTGGATTGCAGTCAGATGGTGATGTCAAGGTTTGTCATAGGCAAAGGGATGGCAGTGCTTCCTCCGTCAAAGATACAAAATGTATCTCAGCTCATTGGTCTACTGCAATTAGCCATGTGCACATAGGTGACTCAGGACAGCTAAGATTAATGGAAGGACATTTGGTAGGAAATTGTCCCTTCCAATTTAATCACTTTAGTTACTTGCTTCCTTTGAATTGCAGTCTATTGCAATTACATGACCTGGTATGCTATGTTGGGGGAGAAATTAAATAATTAAATAAGACAGATTTAAATAACCTCCCAAACCAAAAATATTGAATGCATAAGCAAATAAGTATCCCCCAACTTCCTGTTCTTTTCACTCACTCCAACTATAGATAATTGAAGCTATGGAAACAAGAGAAGGATGAGGTA